TTTTTTTTTAGAAAACTCATGATATCTTGGCCATTTTGAGGGCAAATGGGGAAGTAGCGATGGCACGACAGGCTCCCTTGTGGGGAGCAGAAAGTCTGCCTTCTTTGTTTTAAGGTTCAATTTCTATTAAGTCTTTAAAATTTCCACTGGCAGATAACCACTTTTTGTGTGTGTTCAATGGGGCCTTGTTTGAGTTCAAGAAGCCTTGTGTCTGAATCAAATTGCACAGAGTTTTTTCTTTGTGCAATCAAGCCATTGTTATTAGCAGACGGGCAAAGGAATGAGCAAAAAAAAACCTAATTTGGCAGCAGAAAGGAATAAATCTCTGGAGTGGACTTGGCTTCCAAGAAGTATTGCCATTCCAGCGCACTCTGGTCAGGATTTAAAGATTTTTGAAAGCTGGTAAGATCAAAGACGAAGAAGAAGAAAAAAGCTTTTCGTATGACATCCTGTTTTTTAAAAAAACTAAAGGCACTATACTGGGCGAGGCATTTTGCAGTTGGATTCTTATGGTAATCATTAGAACAGTTTGCCATTTTAATAAAGACCCAAATAAAACCCATACGTCTCCTTTGCTTGAACCATTGCATGAATTAAAGACCTCAGACAGGCACTCTTCATTAGAGGAACTTTTCTGTTCCTGGAGTCAACTCCCAGCCTACTCAAGAGTCACTTTTGCATCTAGCTGGGCATAAAGGATTCCAGAGCAGCTCTACAGATTTTGGTATGAATGCCCCTGGGTGAGGGCATCCATCTGCCCCTCAGGGGAAGATCTGGCTGTGTGGGTTGCAATCCCTTCCCTGGCAGAGGGTGGTTACTGGAGTCTCTCATGCCTGACCTTGCTTACTCCTCTTTGGCTCCAAGGCTGGCCAGAAGATGGATAAGGTTTGCCTCAAGATGTGAGGACATCCTAATTCCAAAAGGATATGGAAGAAAGGGGCTGCTCCGGGACATCCCACCTTTTCAAAAGAGCAGCTGGGTTTTTTTTTTTCCATTCACTTTTTCACACGAGCTTGAAAAACACGGCGGCTTTCTTGTGTTGACCCATTGAAAGCAGCTGCATCTTTTAATGTAAACTGTGCACCTTCAATGCTCTGAGATGTTTGTCCTTAAGAGCATGTACAATCTATTTTTCTTCAATCTTAAGTAAATCGGGTCAGAGCACATTGCAATGGGGGGGGTTTTGATCAAATTTGCCCTCTTTCACGATTTGTATCATTTAGAACGGGAAAATGTGTCTCCGGAGTGAGGCCTGCGGAACTAAAGAATTATCATCTTGAGCACTTGCTTTGCTGTAAATATATTTGATATTTTACATGTATTTCCTCCTCCGCAATATTATAAATATTGGCAGCGTAGTCTACAGGCTGTTCATGCCTTGTTTGAAGCATTCTTTTGTTTGTACATAGTGTATACATTTTTGTCATTTATGTTAACTGTAAGTTATATGCCCT